TGCAGGTCATAATTTAAGTTAAAGTCGATTAAGGGGTAAGGAATAGAGAATAAAAGGTGGTCTTTTCACGAAGCTTTATTTAATTTTATTTTAACATCATCAAAAACTAGGCCTACCTAAATATCAAATATCTATTTTGTATAATGTATGTACTACATATTTATAATACAATGTTCTTATTATGTGCTGTAAAATGCACACGTCATATAGTAACACCTCGTACGAGGCAAAGTGGCTTGTTGTCGTGCTACAACGAACCGCTTTGCGATCAATCTTGTATACTGTACTTCATATTTGGTATACATTGTGTTATTCGTCATATTTTGTAAAATAAATCTCTATGGATATTGTTTTAATTTACCCTGTTTGAACTTGATTCGCGAAAGTAAAACAACAGAAGAAACGTAAAGTACGAGGTGCCAATTTTAACATATTTACTCTTAACTATCGTAATTATTTTTCTTTACAAATTGCACCATTTACAGATTGCAACATTAATTTTTATACACAATTATGCCAGGGATACGTTCCTTTTGAGAATTTCGAAAATTCTTCTATATTCACATAAAGACGTAACGAATTTCGAAAATATTGCACTCGAGTATTTTTCGGTACTGCTTTGTGGCGGGAGAAAATAATACCCTGCATCGCGGATTTTTTTAGCTTTTTTCTCTTTTTAATATTGTCTATTTTGTGCTCGTGCTCAACTAAACGAATAAATAAATAATAAAATGTGCGAACAAAAACTTAAGTCTAGAACGTGCGCTCTATACACAAAGTAACTCTAATCATAAAAGGAACTCACAATAAAATCGCTTTAAAACTCTATCTGCAAATTAATTAATAATACTTTTGTAGGAATGTCTGCGTTGTTATATGTACAACTTAACGATTAAAATTACCAGCACCATTTCTTTAATTACTGTATATAATCTCTGCTTCGATCGGGAGGGCAACTCGAGTTATCCTTCCGATCTTTCACATTTATTCGAACGAACTTGATAAAACGCAAGGAACTCTGAAGCGCAAAATCATAAATAAAAGCATTCGAAACGTAAAAATAATACTAGTGCACAACCTTCGTCGTTTAAGAGGAAAAATCGAAGAGAACTCAATAAATAAAACAGAAGAACAGTGGTAACATATATCTCACTTGAAGACAAGACTGCCGAATGTGCGCAGAACACAAAAGGGGGCATTCGTCAGTCCTGTCCCGTACTACTACTAAATATCTAACAAATGTCGAGCCGCGGACACGGCTTTTATCACATTTTATCAAGAATCCTAATTTACATTATTATTTTTCTTCTTCTTTTTTCTTTTAAATATAATACAATCAGCGACTGAAGAAACGGGAAAAGAAATCACACAGAGAGACTCTATTGAAATTATTATCCTAGTGATGTGTCATCGAGTTTGTATGATTTGAAACTGCAAGTTTTGAACTCACTAGTACCCTGCAATGGACGTAAACGGAACAAAATCCGAGTGATTCGAGAGTGCACCAAGCGGTGATAATGTAAAAAAATAGTTATCACAAAAATTGCTGGTGTCGCGCTAGCGCGACGAGATGAAAAGCGGTTGAATTTCCTTGCAGCCAAAGAGAGAAGATTTGTACATTGTTGACCGTATACCTATGAAATGACCTAAATTTATACAATTTTTTGCCACAAATCTTACGTCGTAAAATTTGCTTTATGCATAACACACCGAATTTGCTCTACGAGTAGTCAGAATCTTATGTATACATACACTAAGTCAACACATAATTTTGTACAAACGTTTTACTTTTTTCTGTGGTAGTCTAAAGGCTTGTCCGGTTTTGAATTTTGTCCTAGACCGCTTTTTCCATCATTTTGCCAAGAAACGAGAAAAAGGGGGCAGCGGGGTCGGAACAAACGACCCGCACCAAGAACACGTCGGTTGGGACGGATTGCGAAGGCCATAATGGAACCCACAGAAACCCATTGGTACTGCATACTACTTTCAAAAATCATATATATATATATATTTTTGTTTAAGAAAAAAGAAAAGAACGGTGTTTTTAATAACAATTTACCCAATTTTGGATTAGTTAGAGATGTTACGATATACAAAAATGTAAACATATACAGGGTGAATCACTGAGCGCGCGTTCCTCGATATCTCATTAATTCTAAGAAATAGAAAATGTTAAAGACTGCAATTTTTTAGTAACGGAAGGATTGACAAAAAAAAATCACAGTAGGGTTATTTTTTAAATCTGAGTTATACACATTTTGTGGAGAGATATAGAAAGGTACGCCCTTTGTTCTGCTCTAAATGAGATCAAATTTTCATATACAGAGTGTCTATAAAAAGTGTTTTCATTGTTACAAGTTTCGAGTATTTTTTACATTTTGGGAGATACATAGGACAAAAAATTGAGCAAAATACAGTAATAAAAACGAACTATTGATATTTAAAAATGTTTTACATTGTTTTATAAACACTCTGTATATTAAAACTTAATTTAGTTGAAACTACAACAAAGCGCTTACTTTAAAAATAATTTTGGACTAAGTTTTCAAAAAAGTGTACAACTTTGGTCCTTGGCTTTTTTTTATTTCTAAAAATTAATGAGATATCTAGCAATGCGCGCACATTCTATATCAAATAATAAGTAAATAGTTACTGCTGAAATTTTATTACGTATTTTTAAAATTCAATATCTCAATTATTTATGGAAATTTCGAAACGCGGTTTTCACCACTGTTTTCGACTTATAGAACATTATGTGGAAAACGGTGTCGATTTATTTTGTTGAACGTGGGATGCACTGAAAGCAGCATGACAAGCTTTTAGAGTATTAGTGGTGAAAACTGTGTTACGAAATTTCCATCAATAATAGATATTTTTGAATATAGTGATGAACACGATGATAAAAATCTTTAAAAAAACATACATACATTGTACAAAACCAATTTGTTGAACTGAGTTTTACAGTTCTAAGGGAAATTTAAAACCTTAAGACAACTGGTGTAAAAAATGTATTTTGGTTACAGTTACTGTCCAACTGTCAAATTACAAAGTCTTTTAGTTTCCATGTCGAAACACCAGCTTTTTTTAATTGATTTTCATGAAAAAAAATCGTGTTTTAGGTAACCAATACGAAAAACAAAAAAATGAAGGAAGTTTCAAGTTCCCGAGCTGTCATTTTTTTGGAAAAAAATGCAGTATGTAACTTTCAAAAATAGCTAACTTTATCTCATGAAATCGGTATGTTAAAATACAAAATTTTAAACTTTATTTGAAAAAATCGCAAAAATTGAAAAACTGAAAAATCTAAAATTTAAAAATCGACAAATTAAAATTTCGAAAAATTCACGAATGCAGAAACTGAAGAATTCCCAAAATTGAAATGTTAAAAAATTGAGAAATCGGAAACTTGAAAATTCGAGAAATCGAAAAATCGAAAAGTTGATAAATGGAGAACTTGAGAAATCGAAATAGCATAAAATTTTAAAAATCGAAAAACTGAACTAAAACCTGAAACCGAGAAGTCAGAAAATGGAAAGATCGAGAAATCGAAATACGAAAAAATCGTATAATGGAAAAATTGAAGAATCTAAAAATTTGCATAACTAAAAAAGAATTGGAAGGTTGAAAAATAGGGAAATCGAAAAATTTTGAAATAACAAAAACTTGAAAAGTTTAAAAGTCAAAAATCGAAATAAGAATCCAAAATTGAATGAAAATTGAATAACAAAGCGAGCAGTCGATAAATCGGAACACAGAAAACTTTAAAAATTAGACATTTAAAATAATTCGAAAAATCCAGAAATTGAAAGTCCCAAAATACAAATACTGAAAAATCGAGAAATTGAATAAAATAATCTAAAATCGAAAAATTGAAAATTTAAAAATCGAAAAACTGAAAAACAGTAAAATCTGAAACCGAGAAGTCAGAAAATGGAAAAGTTGAAAAATCTAAAAATTTGTATAACTAAAATAAAATTGAAATGTTGAAAAATAGAGAAATCGAAAAATTTTGAAATAACAAAAACTTGAAAAGTTAAAAAGTCAAAAATCGCAATAAGAATCCAAAATTGAAATGAAAATCGAATAACAAAGCGAGAAGTCGATAAATCGGAACACAGAAAACTTTAAAAATTAGATTTTTAAAATAATTCGAAAAATCCAGAAATTGAAAAAGTTCCAAAACACAAATACTGAAAAATCGAGAAATAGAAAACCTAAAAAATCGATAAATTGAATAAAATTATCTAAATCGAAAAATTGAAAATTTAAAAATCGAAAAACTGAAAAACAGGAAAATTTGAAACCGAGCAGTTAGAAAATGGAAAAGTTGAAAAATCTAAAAATTTGTATAACTAAAGAAAATTGAAATGTTGAAAAATAGAGAAATCGAAAAATTTTGAAATAACAAAAACTTGAAAAGTTAAAAAGTCAAAAATCGAAATAAGAATCCAAAATTGAAATGAAAATTGAATAAGAAAGCGAGAAGTCGATAAATCGGAACACATAAAACTTAAAAACTAGATATTTAAAATAATTCGAAAAATCCAGAAATTGAAAAAGTCCCAAAACCCAAATACTGAAAAATCGAGAAATAGAAAACCGAAAAAATCAATAAATTGAATAAAATAATCTAAAATCGAAAAATTGAAAATTTAAAAATCGAAAAACTGAAAAACAGTAAAATCTGAAACCGAGAAATTAGAAAATGGAAAAGTTGAAAAATCTAAAAATTTGTATAACTAAAAAAAATTTGAAATGTTGAAAAATAGAGAAATCGAAAATTTTTGAAATAGCAAAAACTTGAAAAGTTAAAAAGTCAAAAATCGAAATAAGTATCCAAAATTGAAATGAAAATTGAATAACAAAGCGAGAAGTCGATAAATCGGAACACAGAAAACTTTAAAAATTAGATATTTAAAATAATTCGAAAAATCCAGAAATTGAAAATATCCATAAATTGAATAAAATATTCTAAAATCGAAAAATTGAAAATTTAAAAATCGAAAAAATGGGAAATCCGGAAACTGAACAATCGAAAAGTTGCAACATCGAAATGTGGATTAATCCAGAAATGGAAAAATGAAACTGAAAAAATGGAAAAACCGTAAAATCTAAAATCAAGAATTCGAAATTCGAATCATCAAAAAATTGAACAATTTCCAAAACTGAAATGAAAAATCGAGAAGTTGATAAATCGGGCCATCGAAAACTTGACAAATCTAAAACTAAAAAAAATCGAAAAATGCAGAAATGGAAAAATTCCCAAAATTTGTTATTTCCGCCTCACTAAGAGATACCATTTTTTGAAAGGTAGGTGAATTTAAGCAACTTCAACCAGCTTGTAGGGAACACGATTTCTAGAGTTTTGTGTTCAAAGGCGCGTTCAGAAATTTCAATCAAATTTGTATTTTTTTGTCAAATTTCAGTCTATTTTTGAAAGTTTCGTTTGAAAATGGCACAACTTCAAATTCTAAAAAAAACAAATTACCAGTTTTTGCCTGATAGAACGATCTCAATGAAAGAAAAATATCGATAGAAAGGTATCAATACGTTGAATAGAGTGGATCAGTCGCCGGAATTTTTTTGTAATGGCGTCGTTATCCAAGACTCCAATTTGGATCCACTCTTGTTTATTGTATTTTTCAATGATGTACATAACTAATTTAGTTGTAAGATTAATAACGTTATAAATTCTTAGTCTAATTGTATTAAATCATAAATGATAAATGCAAAATGATTACTTTTTACATTTATCAAAATTTAATAAAATATTAATCAATTTGTTAATGTAATTTTGAAATTTATGCCAACGTGTTTATAGTGTAATAAATTTCAAAGTTATAAATGCCAAATCACCCTGATTTTTTGTATCAAAATCAAAAATCATTGGTGTTGTCAAATTGAATATCCTAATAACTAGAAGATTAAAAAATGCTAAATAGAAGATTAAAAAATGCTAACTAAAAGATAAAAAAATGTTAATTAACTATTTTACTAAGGAGCTTCTGGGTTCAAATGTGTCCGTCGTTCCGTCTAAACCTGTACGTTTTCCTGTTATGTTTAAGAGAAATTGTTATTTTTTATCGTCCGTTTCGGGCCCCGGTCGCCCCTAGAATAAATCAGGTAACAATCACAACGTTGCGTCAACAAATAATTTCATCAGTCGGTTCCAACGTTTAATATTAACGATCAACTGCTGTAAACTGTATAAAAATCTGTATAGTCTGTATCGTGGGTCAGGTTACAAAAATACTGAAAGTAGTGTTTCTGTAGAACAAAATATCTCGTTACTATTATTTATAATCTGTAACTGTACAAACTTGCGTAAAAAATTACTGTTTCCTAATATCGCAGTATTGTAGAGGAGTGTAAACAGAAAACCGTTCGATATATAGAATAAAAATCTGTATATTAAAATATCTGAGGAACTGTAGTGGTAGTCTGTAAATAATAAAACTGTAAATGTTGGAACGTTGGCAATATGATATATCAGTCTTATAAAGCGTACGTCGAGCGTACCTCTTCCTATACCGGAGAAACGAACGTGAAAATGAGGAAGCACGTACAGTATTAGCCTAAGAATAACATGAACCAACAATCAACCAAACAGAAGAGCCTTCGCTACCCAGCGTTTAGTCCTGGCCGTTTTGCTGGACCAGCTCTCGCCGGTCGTCTACGGCGAGCGACGGCGGTCTGAACATATCCTCCTCCTCCACCTCTTTTTTGACGCCGCCCTTGCAGTCCTCCTCCTGCTGCTGGCTGTAGTGCTCGCGGCTCTTCTCGCTCTGCGGCAGCAGGTGGATCATGCTCACCTGAAACCTGAACCGTCAGCCAGGACAGGAGACCCTCCGCCACACTCACCGGAATCGGAAAGCCGGTGCCGAAGTCCGGGTAGAAGTTGTGGGCGAAGGGGTTGAAGACGGGCGGCTGGGCGTGCTGCTCCTCGGTGCTGGAGGGCCGCGTGTTGGGCTGGATCGCTTCGTTGTCCCGGTCGCTCTTGCAGGAGTTGTTGTTGTTGTTGCCCATGCCGAGGAGGTCCATGGGGGGCGCGGGCCCGCCGATGCAGTCCTTGCGCAGCTGCTCGAGCTTGAGGCTCTTGCCGTACTTGCCGCGGACGTACATCAGAAGGGAGTTGTACGGGATGCCGAAGATGCGGGACGCCTGACTCGTCGTCATCTTCTTGTTCCACACGTGCTGGAGGGCTTCGGTCAGTTCGGCGTTGGTCCACGAGCGGGGAGGGCCGCCGCGGGGGGCGGAGTGCTGGCCCTTGGGCCGGCCCACTGCAAACGAAAAGGGTCAGTTTTTTCGAAAAAGGTTTTTCCAAAATTCTACGGTATTTTATAGAATTTAAAAGCCATTTACCGTGTACAGTTTTGTTACATTGTTGGTTAATGTTTTACCTTGTATATGATATTAATAATATACATATACTAATATATAATTGAAAAATTGAATAACTGAAAATTTTTAAAAATCATAAAATTGAAAACTCGATGACCTGAAAAAAAAACAAAAATTGCAAAATTTTAAATTTAAAAATTCGAAAAAATGAAAAGTCAAAAAAATTCCAAAACTGAAATGTCAAAAATTTGGGAAATCGAAAAACTGAAAAATCGGAACATCGTAAAATTGGAAAATCCAAAAATGAAAATATCAAAAGATCAAGAAATCAAGTAATTGACAAGTGGAGAAGTGGAAAGACCGAAAAATCGAGAAATCGAAAAATTCAAAAATGAAAAACTGAAAAATTTAATATTTGAAAAAAATCGAAAAATCTAAAATTTAAACTACGGACAAATTAAAATTTCGAAACATTGAAAAACACAGAAATTGAAATGTTGAAAAATTGAGAAATCGAAAAATTGAAAAATTAAAACATCGAGAAATTCAAACATCACAAGATTGAGAAATTAAAAAGTGGAGAAGTCGAAAAACCGAAAACTTCAGAAATCGAAGTAGCATAAAATTCTGAAAATCAAAAATTGAAAAACAGTAAAATCTATAAATCTATGAGAAAATGGAAAGATCAAAAAATCGTATAATGGGAAAGTTGAAAAATCTAAATTGATGAATTAAAAAAAAACAAGAAATAGAAAAAATTGTAGAATTCAAAATCTACATCGAAAAACTGAAAAATTCCGAAATTGAAATGTTGAATAATCGGAAAATTGAAAAATCGGGAAATTGAACAATCCAAAAACTATAAAATTGAAAAATCCCAAAACTGACATGTGAAAAAATTGAAAAATCGAAACATCTGAAGATAGAGAAATCGACAAGTCAAAAACAGGAAAATATATAGTTGGCAAATCGAAAAACTGAAAAATCGAAAAACCAAAAATTTGCAAAATCGAAAAATCGAAAAATCAAAACATCAAAAAATCGAGAAATAGCGAAATCGACAAGTCAAGAAGTCGAAAAACCGAAAAATCGAAAAACCGAAATTGCATTAAATCGAAAAATCGATAAATCGAAAATTCATGAAATTAAAAAATATAGATAAAGATTGGAAAACTGAAAAATGAAATAAGTCAAAAAACTCAAAATCAAAAGATCGAAAAATTAAAAAATCGAAAACTCGAAAATTCGAGTAATCGAAACATCAAGAGACCGAAATCGAAATTGCATAAAATTTAAAAAATCGAAAAATTGAAAAATAGTAAAATCTGAAAACCAGAAGTCAGAAAATGGAAACATTGAGAAATCGACACCTGAAAATATCATGTAATGGAGAAGTTGAAAAATCTAAAACTTTGAAAAACTAAAAAAAATTTAAATATTGAACAATTCAAGAATTGTAAATTGAAATGTTGAAAAATAGAGAAATCTAAAAATTTTTAAATAACAACTTGTAAAGTTAAAAAGTCAAAAATCGAAATAAGAATCCAAAGTTGAAATGAAAATTGAATAACAAAGCGAAAAGTCGATAAATCAGAACATCGAAAACTTTCCGCTATTAAAAAATCGAAAATTCTAGAAATTGAAAAAATTCCACAATTAAAATTTTGAAAAATCGAAAACCTAAAAACTCGAGAAATCGAAAAATAGAAAAATTGAATAAAATAATCTAAAATCGAAAAAGTGAAAAATTAAAAATCAAAAAATTGAGAAATCGATGACATGAAAAAAAACAAAAACTGTAAAATCGAAACATCGTAAAATTGGAAAATCTAAAAATAAAGACATCAAAAAATTAGGTCGAAAAGCCGAAAAATCGACAAATTTAAAATTGAAAAATTCGATAAATCGGGAAAAATTGAAAAATCGAGAAATTGAACAATCGAAAACGTATAAATTGAAAAATAGAAAAACTGAAAAATCGCGGAATTGAAAAATTCCAAAACCAAAAAGTCGAAAAACCGGAAAATCGAAAAATTAAGAATTGAAAAAATGAAAAATCTATAAACTGAAAAATCGTGATTCTGAAATGTCAAATAGCTGGGAAATCAAAAACTGAAATATCAAAAAATCGAAACTGTATGAAGTCGAAAAATTGATAAATCGCAAAATCAAGAAATTAAAAACGAAAATTTAGAAACGGAAAAATCGAGAAATTGAAAAATACCAAAACTGAAATGCGTCAATAAACTGGAAATTCGAAAAACTCAAAGATCGAAACATCGAAAAATTGAAAAATCGAGCAATAGAAAGATTCAAAAATGAAAAATTGAAAATTTAATATCAGAAAAAACCAAAAAATCTAAAATTTAAACTAACGACAAATTAAAATTTCGAAAATTGAAAAAATTCCCAAAATTGAAATGTCGAAAAATTGAGAAATCGAAAAATTGAAAAATTGAAACATCGAAAATCAAAAACTTGAGAAATTGAAGTAGCAGGAAATTTAAAAAATTAAAAAATTTAAAAACCCTAAAATCTAAAAGCCATAAGTCAGAAAATGGAAAAAACGAGAAATCGAAACATCAAAAAATCGTATAATGGAAAAATTTGAAAATTCGAAAAATTTTAAAAATCTAATACCTGACAAGCTAAAAAACGAGAAAAAGAGAAATCGTAGAATTCAAAATCTACATCGAAAAATTAAAGAATCGAAAAACTGAAAAATCCCGAAATTGAAATGTTGAATAATCGGAAAATTGAAAAATCTGGAAATTGAATAACCCAAAAATTATAAAATTGAAAAATTGAAGAAGTGAAAAATCGCGAAACTGAAAAATTCCAAAACTGACATGTGAAAAACCTCAAAAATGGAAACATCGAGAAACTGACAAGTCGAAAAACCGGAAAATTGAAATATCTACTAACTGAAATACAATGAAATTGAAAAATCCTAAAACTGAAGTGTCAAATGTTTGGGAAATGGGAAAATTGGAAAATCGAAAAATAGTCAAGAAGTCGAAAAACCGAAAAATCGAAATTGCATTACATCGAAAATTTATGAAATTAAAAAATGAAGTATCAAAAAAGTGAAAAATCCCAAAACTGAAACGTCAATAAATTCGGAAATCAAAAAACTCAAAAATCGAAAAATTGAAAACCTAAAAAATCGAAAAAACAAATAAAGTAACCTAAAATCGAGAAATCCAGAAATCGCACAATCTAAAAATTGAAACATTAATCCAGAAATGGAAAAGTGAAACTGAAAAATTGAAAAGTCAAAACTTTTAGGAATCGAAAAATGGAAAAATCGCACAATCTAAAACTAAGAATTCGAAATTCGAAACATCAAAAAATTGAAAATTTGCTAAAAGTGAAATGAAAATTGAAGGAAAATCGAGAAGTCGATAAATTGGACCATCGAAAGCTTGAAAAATCTAAAATTAAAAAAAATCGAAAAATCCAAAAATTGAAAAATTCCCAAAAATTGAAATATGGAAAAATCGAGAAATCGAAAACCTAAAAAAAATCAGAAATTCAAAAAGTGAAAATCGAAAAATTGAGAAGTCCGGAAACTGAACAATCGTAAGACTGAAACATCAAAATCTTGATTAATCCAGGAACGGAAAAATGAAACTGAAAAATTGAAAAACCGAAAAGTCAAAAATTATAGAAATCGGAAAATGGAAAAACCTTCAAATATATAACCAAGATTTCGAAAATCGAAACATCAAAAATTTGAAAAATTTCCAAAATTGAAACAAAAATTTGATAAAAACCGGACCATCGGAAACTTGAAAAATCTAAAATTAAAAAAATCGAAAAATCCAAAAATTGAAAAATCCCAAAATTGAAATGTTGAAAATTTTGGAAATCGAAAACCGAAAAAATCGAGAAATCGAAATATCAAATGATGTAAAATCTAAAAAGTCGAAAAGTCGATAAACCGAAAAATCGAAATAACCTAAAATCGACAAATTGAAAAATTAAAAAATGAAAATGAACAATCGAAATCCAGAAATGAAGCTGTAAAATTGAAAAATTGTAAAGTCAAAAATTTTAGAAATCGTAAAATCGATAAACCGCAAAAACAAAAACAAAGAATTCGAAAATCGAAACGTCAAAAAAATTTCCAAAGTCGAAATGAAAATTGAATGAAAAACTGAAAAGTCTATAAATCGGATCATCGAAAACTTGAAAAATCTAAAATAAAAAAAATGAAAAATCCAGAAAATGAAAAAATGCCAAAATTGAAATATTGAAAAATCGGGGTATCGAAAACCTGAAAAATCGGAAAATCGAAGAATTGAAAAGTTGAAACATCCAGAAAATGACATATCAAAAGAAATCAAAGAGACGAGAAATCGATAAACCGAAAAATTGAGAAATCGAAACCTAAAATCGAAAAATTGAAAAATCCGGAAATTGAAAATTCGCAAATTCAAAAATTTTAGGAATCGAAAAATGGAGAAATCGTAAAATCTAAAACTGAGAAGTCTAAAATTGAAAGATGGAGAAATCGAACACCAAAAAATTGAAAAATCTACAATTTAGAAAATTGAAAAATTAAAATTTCGAAAGACTGAAAAATCCAGAAATTGAAAATTTTCATAAATCAAAATATCAAAAGACCAGAAGTCGAAAAACCGAAAAATTGAGGAATCGAAATAGCATAAAAATTGAAGATTGAAAAATCATTGAAATCTCAATTAATCTAGAAATCGAAAAATTTATAAACCAAAAAATTGTACAATTCAAAAAACATTAATTTAAAAAATGTGAATGAAAAAACCATAAAATCTAAAACCAGGAATTCGAAAAAAAAAGATCGAGAATTCGAAACTAAAAAATTGTGAAATCTAAACTTCAAAAATTTGAAGAATTAAAAAATTGAGTAATCAGATATCGAAAATTCGATTAATCGCAAAGTAGAATAGCCCAAAATCAAAAATTTAAATTAAAAAAAATCTGAAAAGCGAAAATTCAGAAATCGAAAATCCGAAAGATCAAAAATTCGGAAATCGAGATTTCGGAAAATCGGAAAATTTGATAAACGAAATATAGAACAAACGAAATATCAAGAAATCGAGAAAATTAAAAAACTAAAATTTTAAAAATCCAAAAATTAAAATGTCGAAAAATTGAAAAATCGGTAAATCGAAACATCAATAAATTGACGAAATGAAATATTGAAAACTTCCAAATGTGAAGTATCAAAAAATTGAATAATCGAAAAACGGAGAAACTAACAATTGAAAAAAATCTAGAAATTGAAAAATCTGAACTGAAGATCGAGAAAAAAAAAAAAAGAAAATTGAGGAATTGAAATATTGAAAACTCAAAAAACTAAGTAGTTCCGAAAGTATTGAAATATCGATAAACTGAGAGATTGAGAAACTGAAAAATCGAAGAATTGAAAAAGTAATCCGTAAATCGAAAAATCGAAAAACTGAAGAACCAAAATACTGAAACATCCTAAAACTAATGTATCGAATGATTGAAAATCGCTGAACAAAAATATGAAAAATTGCAAAACTGAAAAATCGTGGAAAAATTGAAGAATCGAAAAATTGAAACATCGAAAATTTCAGTAATTTAGAAGTCGAAAAATTGAGAATTCTAAAAATCCAAAAATGGAACAACCGTAAACTCTAAAAACGAGAAATAAAAAAATCGAAAAATCGAAATATCAAAAAATTAAAAAATGTAAAATTTAAAAATTCGAAGAATTGAAAAACTGAAAAATCGAGAAATCGAAGTATAAAAAATCGAAGAATTGAATCACTGAAAAATTCTAAAGCTAAAATTTCGAAAAACTGGTTTATCGAAAAATCGAGAATTTAAAAATATAAAAAACGGAGAATTTGAAAAATCAAAAAACTGAAGAATCAAAACCTAAAACATCCTGAAACTGAAAAAATATGTAACAACAATAAGCAAAATCAAGATAGATTCGCAAACCACAAGTACAAGAGTATATTATTTCATACAACTTTGGTAATATTAATAATGCAGTTTAATGAGCGGACGTCATCAAATTGTTGGTGAGGATGATTAGCCAAATTTTGGTTAGCGATGTACCATGTAGATGAAACTCCTAAAATACATGCAAAAATTAACAACAATCGGTCTAGTAGTTTCGTGTCTAAAAAAAATCGACACATACGACAGACATACTGACAGGTAGGGACGCTCTCGTAGTAAAAATAAGAAATATGGTGAAGCAAGCTGAGTAGGCAACCAACAATACAGCTTGCTCTCCACTCACTTTTTTTCTTGACGAAGAGCTGCGAGTCCGGCGTCGTCCGGGGGTCCGTCATGTCGAAGAGCGGGTTCCTGCAGCCGTCCAGCCCCGGGGGGAACAGCCCCAGCGGCGAGTCCAGGCCGAAATCTGGAAACAGCGTCACGTAATTTCCGTAATTCCTCCCATCGATTATTAATGAATCGGTTTGCATCTATGGTCGAGTATAAGTCCGGTGAATTATTAATCGCTTGCGTGAAAACGCCGACTTACATTTCTTATAATTATAACAAAAATAAAATTTTATTCCCTATGCATAATTCAGGCGGAGAAAAAGCGTCTTTAATAAGTACATGAGCCTCATTAAATATGGATCGATCTTATTCAATAGGTGGCGACCGAAGTTCCAACTTTATTTTCAATAAATCAGGGTGGCTTGGATTATTTAGTGAGTGGGTGAGCGGTTTCGGCGGTTGGTAGCAGTGCCTGATTTAAATAGCCCGGCGATCATTAATTCGGAGTTGATTTTCGTGATTGGCAACACTGCGGGTGATGGATTGATCTATCGATTTATCGACGAGTGAGGTTATGTAGGCCACCGGAGAATGTGATTTTTTGAGGAAATCGTGAATTGCACAGCAGAGACATAAATAAGCAGCATGTAAAGTGTAAATGTTTTTATCGAGAAGCCATCAAAGCATAAAATTACACCGACATTAATAGGTAGTTTCTAATTTTTTGAATCATTAATGAGTAATCTGAAAACAAAGAAGATTAATTATATTCCCCATGAAAGCGATACTTTTTTTCTTGCAGCATGAAGTATTAATGGGGAGGTCAAGAAAAAAGTTCAATTAAATAAAGCGTCGATTAAAAAATAGGTACACAAAAATTAATATATGCTGTTTCGAGTTGTCGACAGATATGTAACATATAATTTCGTATATTTGATAAAAACGGGGATGGGGTTATTTTTGTTTTTGTAGCGTAATTATGGGTGTTAGGTGTTTTAATTAAACTGTAATTATTTTTTTATACCGGTTTTTATCAAAAGTTAGGAACTAGTGGGGTTGATTATTTTAAAAGTACGGATTAATTAATGATGGCTTTTTTTGGGACGAACCATCCTGGAAAAGTTCTTTTTATAATAATCCCTGTGATGTTTCAATCGGCGGCTACACTTTAAACTTAGTTTCTTATTTTAAAGTAAGTGTTGTTAAAAATCTTTACTGCTGATACATATTTAATTCATTTCAGTTCATCGATCGGCAAATATCCACCTTTATAACTAACGTCTCATTTGTATTTTAATAGAACAGTATTCACTTATACGTTACAACAGCTTTTTCATAACGCTGTAAAAAATAAAACAGAAAGAAATTGATATATATTTTAAGCATTAATGACATTCCCTAATTTTGAGATTCTAAAAAAAAAAAATCAAATGTCCAGCGTCGAATTTTTCCTAAGATTTTGTTTGTTTTTTTTTAATCTTGACCCATTTCTCACAGTGTGTCTTTTTTCTTTTTGAGAAAATTCTCAAGTTCTTAAAAACAGTTCAACAACTGAATATAAAATAACAGCAGCGGTTTTGAGTCCAAATTCTGAACAATATTTAATTTTATTTTCATGCCTGACGTCAAATTTGGCCAAATATTGTGATTTTTATTATCTTTGTTCTGAACATCTTGGCTTATTTCCCAAAGTTTGACTTTTCTTCTCCAAAAAAAAGATTTCAATTTCTTAAAACAACTAAATCGACTGAACCAAATTAAAAGCAGTTTAGACATTTCCAAATTTCAAGATCTTCAGCGACGATATTTTCAAATTTAAGGATCTTTTTATTCGTGACATTGTTGTCTTTCCCAAAATGTTAAAAAAGAATGAGAACGAATTAGAAAATATTTGAATGACATTTTATTTTACCTTCAATTTGTTGGAGATTTTATCGTAATATTTTGATATTTTCATTTTCTCGGTTCGTCAATCTTTCTTCGATTTTTGTGTTTTTGATATTTCAGTTTCAGCATTTTTTAGTTCTTGATTCTTCAAATTTTCAAATTCTCCATTTTTTATATTTTTAAATTCAGTTTTTCGATATTTCAGTTTTAGAATTATTCAATTTTTTATGCTTGGATTTCTCGATTTCTCAATTTTTCGTCATTTCCATTTTTAGATTTTACAATTTTTTTCAATTTTTCAGTTTTCTGATTTTTCACTTTTTCAATTCGTCGATTTTTTTTCTTGACGTTTCGATTTCTCGATCTTTCGATTTTTTTATTCCTCTTTTTTAGAATTTAAGGTTTTTCCATTTTTGGATTTTAGAATTTTTGATTTTTGGTTTTTTCATTTTTCGGATTTAAAATTTTTCGGTTTCTAAATTACTCGAGTTTTCGATTCTTCAATTTTTCCTCGATATTTCAGTTTTGCAATTTTTCAATTTTTTATTCAGCGATTTTCAATTATTCGATACTCTAATTTTAGAAATTTTCACTGTTTTGGTTCTTCGATTTTTCAGTTTTCGATCTCTCAGTTCTCCGATATTACAATACTTTCAGAATTGAAATTTTATTCTAATATTTTGAAATTTAGGGTGAAGATCTTTATTTACCTTATTTCTCACAACGAAAGTTTCTTTTTTAGAAAAATCTGAATTTAATTAAAGTATTAGGGATGACTTTTCAAAACCTTGAAATTTTTTTAGTCAAGACTGTCGTTTTTCACAAAAAAGTCAATAAAAAGAGAGCTTTTTAGGAAAAAGTTTTAAAGAACAAATTCTGAAAAATATTTAATCTAATTTTTATGTTTTGTGTTAAATTTTGCCCAAAATTGTGATTTTTAAATACGATTTTTCGACTTTTAGATTTTTCCATTTTTTGATCTTGCAGTTTCTCGATTTCCCGACATTTGGATGTTTCGATTTCTCGACGTCTCGACTTGTAAATTTTTCAGATCTTCAATTTTTCGATTTTCCAGTTCTTCCATTTTTTTTAGTTCTCATTTTCTCGGTTCCTCAATTTTTCTTGGATTTTTGAGTTTTTCGATATTTAAGTTTCAGAATTTTTTAGTTTTTGATTCTTCAGCTTTTTGATTTTTCATATTCTCCGCTTTTTATATTTTTTTATTCTTCGATTTTTCGATTTCTCAATTTTTCGTCATTTTCATTTTTAGATTTTATTTTTTTTTTAATTTTTCAGTTTTTCGATTTTTCACTTTTTCAATTTGTCAAATTTTTAAATGTTAGATTTTTCAATTTCTCGATCTTTCGATGTTTTGATTTCTCTTTTTTTGAATTTACAGTATTTCCATTTTTGGATTTTTAGAATTTTTGATTTTTCGATTTGTCCATTTTTCGGTTTTTAAATTTTTCGATTTCTAAATTACTCGAGTTTTCGATGTTTCAGTTTTTCGATTCTCCAATTTTTCCTCGATTTTTCAGGTTTGCAATTTTTCAATTTTTTATTCAGCCATTTTTAATTATTCAATACTCTAGTTTTAGAAATTTCCACTATTTTGTTTCTTCGATATTTTAATACTTTCAGAATTCTTTAGTTCTTTGAGTCTTCAATTGTTCAATTACTCGATTTTTTTTCAAGTTTTAATTTCTGGATTTTTCAATTCCTCAATTTTCTTTTTTTTTCCCGATTTTTTAAATTTTAGATTATTCGATTTTTCGATTTTTTAATTTCTATATTTTTTTTATTTTTAATTTCTCCGTTTTTCGATTACTTAATTTCCCGATTCTTCACATTTGAAATTTTTCAATATTTCATTTCGTCAATTTATCGCTGTTTCGTTTTCCCGATTTTTCAATTTTTCGATATTTTAATTTTTGATTTTTAAAATTTTAGTTAATTAGATTTCTCGATTTATTGATATTTCGTTTGTTCTAAGTATATTTCGTTTATCGGATTTTCCGATTTTTCAATATCTCGAATTTCGAATTTTTGTTTTTTCGGTTTTTAATTTTTTCGAATATCGTGATTCATCGAATTTTTGATATTCGATTTCTCAATTTTTCCATTCTTCAGTCTTTAGACTAGAGACAAAAATTAGAAAATATTTGAACCTTTCAAAATACTAAAAAAAAGATTTTCAGATCAAATTTCATATTTTTGCCTTTAAAATTGTATCTATATTTTGACGTTCAGGATGAAGATCTTGACGTATTTCCCACATTAAATTTTTTATGAAAAAAATTTCAATAGAAAAAAATCTTTAAACTTTTGACAACAAATTCTAAAAAATGTTCAATTTTATGTTCACTCTGATGTCAAATTTCGCCCAAGATTCTGGTTACAGCCCTTTTTTCTGAAGATTTTGAATTATTTCCCACTTTAATTTTTTCTTCTTGATATAAATTTCTAGTTTTTAGGACTACAAAAACAACTGAATATAAAATAAATAATTACTTTACTCTTTTTCTAAGAAGGTTAGAAAGTCTGTATAAACTAGAAAACGACGTCTTCAAATTTTAAGATTTTTCTACTCACGACGTCGTCGTTTTCCCTAAATTTTTAAGAAAAATTTAGAAACTTTAAAAAAAAAATTGAGAACGAGTTTTGCGAAAAATTGTATTTTATTTTCATGTGCAACATATTTTTCAAAAGTGTTTCCATTTTTTTTTTTTCAAATCTCGGTGTTTTAGAAATTTTGTCTTAATATTTTGACTCATGTTCTTATTCAGAATTCAAGAAAAAGAGGGAAATCTTCAGAAAACGATTTTGAGAACAAATTTTCAAAGAAATTGAATTTTATCATTATGTCTAACATCGGATTTTTCTTAAAACATTCTTAAAAGATTTTTAAATTTAAAAAATACTTTCGCGGAGATTTTAACTTATTTTTCGCATTTTGGCTTATTTTTTCTTGAGAAAATTTTCAAAACTAAAAGAATCGAATATAAATTCCAGAAGTGGAAGATTTTTTTAATCAAGACATTGTTTGCTTGTTTTATTCAGAAAACCAAGAGAAAATCTAAATATCAATATAAGAAAATTTTTAAAGCAAACTTCAAATTGTTCTGTGTCCTTTAGTTTCCTCCAAGATTTTGAGAAATTAATTGAAAATCTTATTTTTTCTGGTTTCAGATTTTCTCCTTTGCCTTGCAAAAAGTCTTAAGGTCATAACGCAAAATAGAGGAGACTTGATATATCTAAAGGTCACTCTTGAAAAATCTCTAAAGGTGAAGATCATTAAAGAAAAAAATATATTTAATATCATCTGTCTTTCCTAAATGCTATTTTAGTGATGATATTTAAGTCGCTTCAGTAATATTAGTATGAGAGAACAATTTCTAAACAATATTTAATTTTATTTTCATTTCTAACTTCAAAGATCGTTGAAGATTGAGATTTTAATATCTTGTTTCTGAAGATGTTGGCTTAATTCTTAGAGTTTGATTTCTTTTTCCTGGTAAAGATTTCAGGTTTTTGAAATTACAAAAGAAAGTGAAAATAAGTCAACCTGGCATTTCCAAGTTTCAAAATCTTTTCAATTACTTTTCTCTTTTTCTAAGAAAGTTAAAAAAAAATTCCATAGAAAATAGAATCAAGATCTTACAAATTATGAGAAAACTTGAATTTTATTCATTTGCAACATATTTTTCCTGAAGTTTTGATTTTTTTTTCCTAAAATCTTGACTTTTCCAAAGAAAATTAAAAAGAAAATATAATTTTTAATTTGTTAATATTTTTGCTTAATATTTTGGCATTCGGGGTGAAGATACTGAAATATTTTTCACATTCAATTTTTTTCATATTTACAAATATTAAAACCTTTACTCAGGCTTTTGGGCTAGAACGTCAAGAAAAATGGCGAGTTCACCACTTCCAAATTTCAAGATCTTTATGTTCAATTGTTTCAGTTTTAATATCTTGTGCTTTTTTCTGAAATTCTTAATTCGCATAATTGGAAAAGCTTGAGCTTCCAAAAATAAAACAAAAATAATACACATCTCGTTAACACAAAATAATATAAATATACTTTTGAGAAATCAAAAACGTCTTTTTTATTCAGAAAACCAAGAGGAAATCCAGATATTCATAAAAGGAGATTTTGAAAGCTCTCATTATTTTGGTTTCAGATTTTCACCCTCATTTTGCAACAAATCCTGAGAACAAATTTTGATAAAACCTGAATTTTATTGTCATTTGCAACAAATTTTTCCTGGAGTTTTATTTTTAATTTTTTTCTTAAGTCTTAATTTGCTCCCCATAGTTTGATTTTTTTCTTGTTGATAAAGATCTATGTTTTTAAAACTATTCAAACAACTGAATATAAAATAGGTCATGATAACATTTCGAAAAAAGGTAAAAAAGAATATATTTTGACAAGAAATTTCAAAATATTTAAAAGAAGTTTTAATTTACTTTAACTTTGTAAATATTTTTTTTCGAAAATTTCGAGATTTTCTCGTAAATGGCAATCTTAGGGCCATAAAAATGAAATAAATACCAAATAAAGCAGATATGGGGAATTTCTCTTCAAAAGATCAATATATTGAAAAATGAAACCCAAGAATATGGATTTAAAATTACGACGAAACGAATTTTTGTTTTTAAGCTGCTTCAGTTATATCAGTATGTAGCTTAATAACGGTTTTTGACTAACAGATATATTTACAACACAAAACATACACATAAACATGGCTTGATACTCGCTCGAGAGATCATTGTTGACTCTATCGGGAACTACCCTAAAATATTGGTAGTGCCGTTTTTGAGTGAACGGCGCAGGCGCGGTTGAGTCAGGAGAAAGTTCTCGAACAGAGCTAGAATACAGCCATTTTGTCATATAGAAAAGTAAAACATTAAATTCCATAAGACCATCACGTCACCATAAGTGTTTAAAAGTAATGACGTTCTAGTAAATTACTATTAAATAAAGCTTTTTAAAATTTCCTCAAACACGCAATGCGGTATTTATTAAGTTCTGTGTAAATATCAGTACAATTTCGCACTACAACTTCTAAGATTTTTTTTTTGGCGCTCGATGAACTGAAATTACGAAATATTTTTCAAAAGCTCTAACTATGCGTTCCGCGTCACCGACGGTACCGGTGGTACTCTCCGTCCGGAAGTCCCTTCCGCGCCGCGTCGAGCACACACAGGGTGTCCACAAACCCATAAACAACCGTCATATATTCCCACTCCCTACCGCCACTCCGGCCCTCATCCATCACGCCGCCGATAATAACAATTCCGCAACATTCAATTACGCGAGCATTTCCACGTTGGTCGAATGACTCAGCCACCCATTTCCTACCAGCCTCGAGCAAGAATCCCAAAAAAACTTACATTTACTGTGCGGAGGTGTCATGGCAAGCGCTGAAACCGACGGCATGGGTGGAAACGGCAGAGGCGAATGGTTATCAATTTCTTGCTTCATATTGATGGTGGGCGGCAGACTAACAGGTGGCGAGGACCTGAACTCCTTGCCGCCGCCGCCCGCCGGCAGCGTCAGGTCGATCTCGGGACTCCCCGACGGGTCCGGCGTCCGCGTCTTGTCGTCGTCCTTCGGCTTGTCCTCCTTCGAGCCCGACTTCCGCACGCACAGGTTCTCGGGGGTGGCGTCGTCGGAGGGCGGCGGGGACGGCTTGGCGGGGTCGTGGGGGCCGCACAGCTCGCCGGACCGACGGCGGGGCCGCGCCTGCTTCCGCCGAGGAATGGGCGATTGGCACTCGGGACGCGGGAGGAGCGACTCGGGGAAGGACAGGCGGGACATGTGGGGCAGCTTGACGGAGGGCTCGTAGTTGGAGGGACAGGATAAGGGCGAGAAGGGCGACGTGCGCTCGCCCGGGGTGCGGACGGTGACGCCGGGCGTCGGAAACCTGCAACAAATCGGTGGGGTTAACTCAATCGCGACGAATTTGGCTCCGACGTACCTCCCGAAGTAGTTCCTGTCGAAGTCGTTCGGCGACGTCGACGGCGTCGGCGTTTGGTTGATGATCGACGTCGACTCCTTGTCGACCCCGAAGGGGTCCTGGTTGGCCAGCCCCCGCACTTGGAGGCTCTCCGCCGCCTTGATCAAGCTCTGCAGCTGCTCTTGCACCACGCTGATCTCACCCTTATACATGAAATCGACGATGGCCTGAACCTCCCACCCGCTGAAGTCCTTTAACACGATCACGGGGTGTTTGCACGGGTTCTCCGAGAATATCCGCTGGAAGAAGGGCGAACAAGCACTTAGGACCACTTTGTGGGCCCTCACGGACGTCTCGGCGCATACCAGCGTCACGTCCACCAGAGTCTCGGCCTGGAGGAGGGCGTCGAAGGCCGCTAAGATGTGCGTCTGGTGGTTGTTCCATCGCAACGAGTAGTGGGACTGGGTCATTTTTTTCTTTTGAGGTTAAGCGAGGGCGAGCGGTGCTAGAGGGTGAGGTCAGACCGCGGGCGGCATTCTCTTTCGTCTCCTACGGAATTTTGAGTTTCTGAAAAAATAAATCAGAGTTAAATAGTTGCGGTACCACCAGAAAAGCCAACTGGTAAAATCTACGAACAGAGATGTAAAAAAGGGCGTCATACAAAAATTGTTAAATCGAACTTTCACTTTAACTACTAACGTGTAACGAAATTTCGACTCACTAATTTTAAGTGCCTCAACAACTGCAACCTATTCCAAGTACCCGTGCTCGTATGCGAATGCCCAAACTAACTAAAGAATTTGCATCTGTTAACCCTCCTCCCCCCTTATCTCCACGGACAATTGCTTATCTACGTACTCGACTTGTTGGCCATTGGGTTTTCACAAAAGCTCAGGTACATGCACATGTGTCCGACTACCTGTTTGAACGGTACGTTGCGGTATTAAGAGTTCCAAGAAGTATTTTGACATGCGTATCTATAATCCTCGGGCTAATATCCCATTAGAAATTATCGGCAAAGACTTTATTCAAGGAGGTTAATAATCCGAGCTGAGAAATTTATTGCTACGATATATTGCCGCACGGGTAAATTACTGGAATAGATATATCAGTTGGCTGGGTACTGTTGGGTATTTATTTATTGGGTTTCGAAGAAATGTGGAAGGGTTTGAAGCTTTAACACATCTGCATGCGACATTAACGGCTAACTTACACGTGGAACCAGGGTGGATAAGTGGTTTTGCATTCGTCATTCATTCTGTGAGGCCGCCGAGGTGGTACCAGAAATGCGCTTTTGTTGGTGGTAAATAAGATGATTTATCGAAAATCGTACGTTCATTTCCAAAGTACAACAAGCAAAAAATAACATGTCATAAATTGATAAACAATTTTTTGTCATATGCTAACAAAGTACTAAAAATTAAAATTATTGTCTGGAGTTTACTGAAGTGAAAAATTAAAATAATATGTAATGTTAATAAAAAATGTAAACATGTAACTGTTAGTGTTTTCTACAGTTTTTGCATAAAATTGAGTACAATTGCATTATATAACTTGGATAATTGGATATATTCTGAACATATTAAAATAAGTAAACAAATATGTTATGACAAAAAAATAAAAACCACTTTATCGCTAAAATTACTAAGCTGGAAACTTTGATAATAGTTTAATCAATAAAAAAGTATAGGTAAAACCAAGTCTTTTTGTAGTAAGTCTCAGAACAAAAACTTGTTCTATACTACATTCCAACGTCGGTAAGAATCAGTGATCACGTGAGACGTGGGTGTTCAACCCCAGAGTTTGCTAAGGCAGTTTTACACTGTACAATTCGTATTTGCGTTGATAACAGATACATATAGAAGTTAATCAAAATATCTAAAAATATGTAGCCTTTCCTATTTAAAAAACTAAGTCTTCAAAATAGAACACTCAGTATAGTTGAAAATAATTTCATTGTATGGTATATACAGGATAATTCATAACATAATGCTAAAAACTTTAGGAGCATTTTGCTGACCTAGAAACAATACAAGTTCATATTAATATATTTTGAAAAAAATTTCAATAAAAAAATTAAATTAAAAAAAGCTTATAATACATCTTGTAACTTCAAAACTGTGAATGTTTGGGTAAGTTAGAATGCATTTTTCTCCTTTTAGTCATCCAGGAAGACTTTTCTTAAGTTTTCCGTATATACTAAGAATCACCCTGTATACCAGAAGGCAGAAAAAAAATAAATGCGTTAAAAACAAGAATAATAAATCAGAAAAAAAAAAATAAATGCGTTAAAAATCTAAAAACAAGAATAATAAATTAAGCTAATAAACCTTTCGAAACAAAAAAATACATTAACTTTACTTAGTTTATACCGAGCCGTAGGCGAGGTTTATTATCTCATGGAAAAATGTTGAAATAATACATTTGAACAAACAAATTCGAGGTTTTTCCCCTAAACGTGGAACAATTTTGCGAATAGTATCAATACATGTTTGATTTAGTCAATTATTTCTAGTTATTTTGAAAACGCTTAAAATAACTATAACCATAACAGTGATAAAAATATACATAACGATTTTTTTTTCTGAAAATACAGAAAACATCCAACGAATGGCTTCTTTCATATTTTCTCGACGTTTCATGACCCCCAGAATATCGATATTCACAAAATTTTATAAGTATGTTATGAATATTGTGTAGACAGTAAAACGCTAACAAAAATTTCTGTAATCATCCCCACCAAAAATCTGAAGACGTCATCTCCAGAATTTTACAGTAGTAACTGTTACTTAAATCTTATAGAACAATAATCCTACTGCACTTGTGGTTTATGAATCCGTCATGAATTTTTACCCTAGACAGACTTAGATTTTTGGAAAAAACTTTAAAATTAATTATACAATTAACTTTGAAACTACAAAACCGATTCATAAACATTTTCAAGATTTACCTTTTTTGGACACTAAAAAATTCTTTCGTATGTTAATAATTTAGCCTCCCAGAGACATCGACGAATCATTTTGATTAACACCTAAACGTGCTCGCTGCACTCGCATTCTGAATATTCTTTTTTAAAATGAATTAATGAACAGATAAAATTGATCAGTGAAATAGAGGTGGGGTGGGTGGGCGGGGTTAATTAAGTATCTTCTGTAGAGTGAGAGTGGGAATTTTTTGTGCTATTTAAGTTAAGTAAGATCAACTTTTTTCTACAGTTTTATGAGCAACCAGTAAGCCCGCTCACCCACTTCATTCTAGTGACTACTCTTAATATTGTTCAGTCCTATCTTAGTAAGTGGTAGCCCCGCCCACCCACCCACTATTTTCTTAGGGAGTATATGATTTGCCAAAATCAGTCTTATCTTACTTAGTACGTGATAGCTCCGCCCACCCACCCATTTCCTAATTTTATTTCTGTTCAGTATAAGATGCATTGTTCCACCTGAGCAGATAAAATTAATCAGTTAAATAGAGGTGGGGTGGGTGGGCGGAGTTAATTATATATCTTCTGTGGAGTGAGAGTGGGAACTACTAGATACTTTTTCCATTTCCCAATTTTTCGATTATATAAATTTTTGATTTTTCAATTTTTAGATCTTTCACTTTTATCGGTTTATCGATTTTTGGATTTTTCTTTTTTGATTTTTAGGTTTCCCAGTTGTTTTCGATTTGCTAATTTATTCGATTTTCCAATTTCTAATTTTTCAAACTTTCGATTTGTCCGTATGCACGATTTATGTATTTTTATATTTTTAAATTTTTCAAAAAGTCGAAAAATCCAGACATTGAAAGACTGAAAGACCGAAAAATCGAAAAATTCGCAAATTTTTCAAATTCTAACTTTTGCGGTTTTTCAGTTTCTGGAATTTCGATTTTTGTCTTTCTCGTCCTCAATTCTTCGATTTTTCAATTCTTGACTTCTGTATGTTTCAATTATTCGAATTTTCGATTTTTCAATTTTTCGATATTTTACTTTCCGATTCTTTAATTATTCCTTGTCTCAGTTTTTTAATGTTACCATTTTCCAGATTTTCGATTCCACAAATTTTCGATTTTTCGACTTTTCGATGTCAGGATTTCTTCTTTTTTAAAGTCGAAAAATCGAGAGATTGAAAAATCGAAAAGTCGAGAATTAGAAAATTCCGGAAATCGTAAATCGTAAAACCAAAAAATTGTCTTTCTGGTCCTCCAACTTTCGATTTTTCACTTTTTTAATTGTTCAGTTAAATATTTGTTGTCTCGGTTTTTTAATTTTTCAATTTTCAGATCTTTCAGTTTTTTCGGTTTATCGATTTTTGGATTTTTCTTTTTCGATTTTTAGGTTTCCCAGTTTTTTCGATTTGCTAATTTATTCGATTTTCTAATTTCTCACTTTTCAAACTTTCGATTTGTCCGTATTCACGATTTCTTAATTTTTCGATTTTTCAGTTTTTATATTTTTCAATTTTTCAAAAAGTCGAAAAGTTCACACACTGAAAAATCGAAAAATCTAAAAATTCACAAATTTTTCAAATTTTAACTTTTGCGGTTTTTCAGTTTCTGGAATTTCGATTTTTGTCTTTGTAGTCCTCAATTATTCGATTTTTCAATTCTTGATTTCTTTCTTTTTCAATTATTCGAATTTTCGAATTTTCAGTTTTTCGATATTTTACTTTCCGATTCTTTAATTATTCGTTGTGTCAGTTTTTTAATCTTACCATTTTCCAGATTTTCGATTATACAAATTTTCGATTTTTCGACTTTTCGATGTAAGGATTTCTTCTTTTTAAAGTCGAAAAATCGAGAGATTGAAAAATCGAAAAGTCGAAAATTAGAAAATTCCGGAAATCGTAAAATCGCAAAACCAAAAAAATTGTCTTTCTGGTCCTCCAACTTTCGATTTTTCACTTTTTTAATTGTTCAGTTAAATATTTGTTGTCTCGGTTTTTTAATTTTTCCATTTCCCAATTTTTCGATTATATAAATTTTTGATTTTTCAATTTTTAGATCTTTCACTTTTTTCGGTTTATCGATTTTTAGATTTTTCTTTTTTCGATTTTTAGGTTTTCCAGTTTTTCGATTTGCTAATTTATTCGATTTTCCAATTTCTCATTTTTCAAACTTTCGATTTGTCCGTATTCACGATTTCTGAATTTTTCGATTTTTCAGTTTTTATATTTTTCAATTTTTCTAAAAGTCTAAAAATCCAGACATTGAAAGACCGAAAAATCTAAAAATTTACAAATTTTTCAAATTTTAATATTACGGTTTTTCAGTTTCTGGATTTTTCAATTTTCGACTTTTCGATTTTTGTTTTTGTCGTCCTCAATTTTTCGATTTTTCAATTTTTGCTTCTTTATCTTTCAATTATTCAAATTCTTGATTTTTCAGTTTTTCGATATTCTAGTTCTTCGATTTTTCGAATTCTTAATTTTTCAACAATTCGATTTTTGAATTTTTCAGTTTTTAGATTTAATGGATCTTTGGAATTTTCGGTTTTTCCACTTTTAGACTTTTTTGTTTTTCAAATTTTCGATTTTTCAGTTTTTGGATTTGTTCAATGTTTAGAAAAATCAAAAAATCGGGAG